CCGGAATACCGAGGTGGTCAGTTCACTCTCAGCCATTTCTCTTAGTGAAAACTCCCACGATAAAGTTCCTAGAAACTTATTCCTCTAATGTTCAAAGCTTCGGGCCCCCGCTTCGAGGTTCGTTACAATCAACCCGCCCCAACCCATCCCATTCGCCGCCATGCTACCATCAAAAACCTCCATTGTCTTATCTCTTCCGTTTACTGTACGCGCACTGTCTTTCTCCTCCTTATTCGGTATTCGAAGGTCGGAACAGCAAACATGCGACCGTTCATGCTACGCCGACTACCGCTCGCTCATGGGCGACGCTGCTGAAAACCTCGTACTTCTAAGCTCGTTATCGCATCGAAACACAGCCGATGATCTGTGCAGCGATCAAGAATGCTCCGAGTGCGACTTTTGCGACGTTAGCCTCACTGGTCGCTTTCCTATCCTGTCTCTGCAAAATGTAGAGCTCAACCGGATAGCGAATGCGGAAGCGAGAAAAGGTGCGGACAACGCGGAAGTGAAAACGTGTACGGACTGTCAGCTGTACCTGAATAGCTGTGAGACACCTCACGAACGCAAAATGGCATACAATCCCCCAGGGTATGAACTCGCCCCGCCCTACCCACTCCACACAACAGACCACCAGCGAACTCTACAATGCGAGCTCCAGCTCTGCACAGACGGTCCTGTACACTGCGGCATCAACGGGGCGTGCGAGCGCCAGATCTGCAAAGACCTCGCTAATCGTGCTGGCCTTCTCGAACCGGCTCATACAATGGAGTGCGAAGACTGCGTGAAGTCCTGGGTCCGATGCATACACGATAGGTGTATTCCACCTACACTCGACGCGTTGGCAGACAGCCTACGCTCACCCAATTGCTTCAAGAACCATACTCAATGTCAGCAACAAACATGGCAAGAGATCAACGCCTCGCTTGCACCGGATCGGGATTGTGTGGAGTCTTGCTGGGGGAGTACCCCAACGTATTGCCATACTGGTTCTTGTGCCTTGCCCTTTCGCTCCTCGGGAACGCAAAACTCGACCTCTCTCCCGTTCACTCCCGCCCCAAGTAGAATCGAGACTTTATCTCGAGGTTGCAGTGCGTTTCGCGATACATGCCTGGAGACTTGTGACCTGGGTAATGCTCACTTGAAGTGCGAAGGAAAGTGCGAAAGACTACATAGTAGCAATGAATGGTTCAAAGAAGTATGTGAGCAGACGTGCGGGAAAAGGACTTGCTGGACCGAATGCAGAGACATGACATGCTGCGTAGGACCAGAGCAGTGTAGAGAGGGTGGAGAGGTATACAGGTGCAACAACAAACTGAGATGCGAGAAGTATAAGAAGATGGTAGAGAAGGGCAATATGATGCTTCGCAGTTAGTAGGTGCTATTGTTCAAGGTTTGTGGCTCTTATCGCATCCATGTCAAGGACGATAGTGAAATGCACTGGATCATAATCGATGTATTAAACAGGATCGTCGGCCTGCGACCTCGATGTTTTGGCAGAACTCCACCCAACGCCTTGCATGTAGCTCATGATATGGTAAATGTAATAGCAGTTGTAGCAAGCTGGCGGCCCTGATCATGACCGCGGCATTGCCTTTGGCTGAGCGTCGGCCTGCATGAACGCCGTCATGCACCGTGATGTCATGCTCGCCTCTTATTTCGGGCCTGAGCCATATCCAGCGCTGTTCTTCGGTTCTTCAGCAAGCAAATCGGCGCTATACACACGCTTGTAGTCCTGCTCGCTCCAGCCCTGCTGCTGGGCAAGGCCACTGAGACTCAAGCCACGCGAACGAGTCTTCTTCACTGCATCGCCTTGAGCGGCGCCAACGGGAGTAGAGTTGTAGTTGAGGGGCACTACACCTTGACCGGGAGGCGGGAATGGAGTGGAGCCTGTCGGCGACGCGACTGTTTGGCCCGTAGTGACGTTGTCGGGTACTTCAGAGTCGGCGGAGAAGTCGGACGAGACGGACGCTTGCTGCGCTCGCTTCAGTGCGTTCTCGTAGTTCGCTGAACTTGCTCGAGCCATGCCAGGGCGGCGGTAGCCAGTGTAAGCGCGGACAGCTTCAGTTGGGCCATTGTCTGTTGTCTCGTTTCCTCCACCGGCACCCATCAGGGGCAAAAGATTTGGGTCGGGAGCAGCCGCATCGGTTTGCGAAGCGCTGTTGGAGGTGAAGGCGGCTTCGGCTTCGGAGCGTGTGTTGGGTGTGAGGCCCGAGGGAGTGAAGGCGCCCGATGAGAGGAAGGAGCCCTCGGTGGGCGGCATGAGAGATGGTCGTGAGCTCATGGTGAAGACAGTGTGTGCTGTCGTATCTTAGTAAGCTGCAAGACATCCTGGAACCTTGAAAGCGTGAACGTACGTGAAGTCTGTGAACTACTATTAGGGTCTAGGCGGTGCCGTGTCAAATAGTGTGATTGGAGGGTACTGGTCCCTGTCTATCAGTCAGCTGGGTAGTCCCTAGAGGCCGTAGAAGGACCGCACCGAATGTTCAGGGTCTTTGGTATGCAGGTGCAGCAAAAAGAATCGTAATTGTTCGTTCACATCGGTCCTAAGCGACTGCCATGTATTTGAGCAATAGCGGCTGATGCTATGCCATCATATCTTGGCGGGTGACGTCTTTTCAGGGTCCAGACTTGCGGGGCCCTCTAGCCGCATGTGGCAGCTTCTCGTGCAGCTCAATCAACAATGAGGGCGATGGCGACGAGCCGCAAGGGTTTGCGCTGATCGCTGACATGCTTGCTGTGGAGATGGGCCCTTTCAATAGGTGGGAATGGCGCGGGCGAGGTCTCTAAGCGGAGAGAAGAGGTGCAACATGCATGTCACCGCGCGTTAGGGCTGGTGATACTCGGAACACGGGACACGGGTGAGTATTGCATCTGTGAATTCCTCGATTAAACATCCAACAGCCATCTGACCACTCACTCCCATTAATTCGAATCGAAGCATCGAAACACCAACCAAACCAAACATCGACCAAATACAGACATGGTGGCTACATCGCCGATCTACAAAACCTTGCCACAAGTAGCCCCTTGCTTCCTGCTCAAACCCGCCCAACAGATTGTCGTAATGAAACCTTTGGACAATCTATGATACCGTTAGAAAAGATCTCTCTGTAAGGTGAAGGGGAAACAGATGTCTTACCTCACTGCATTAGCCGCGAATCATCCGACAGTATCGAACTAGAGGCCAGAGTGGCAAACACCAATGGCGGCGGTAGTAGCACCACCAACCTTGGCAGTGCATTCAACATAGGCAGCATAGACTGCGGCGAGAGCAAAGCCAGCGGTGCCTTCAACAGCGGCCAAAGCAGCGCCAGTGCATCCAGCGATACCGGAAGCGCCTGCAAGCCCAGCAGCAACGACGCAAGAGCCACATGCCCAGTTCTGGAAGCAGCCGCTTCGGCCTGATTTGATACGCGCATCGTGAAGGGCAAGCGCTTGACGCTCCATGCGACGGACTGAGTCGTTGCGAGCGGCAAGCTTGTTGCTCTTGACTTCGGATACAGCGTCAACACGGGCGGCTTCCGGGGCGACCAAGGCCGAGACCTCGAGCGAGAGTTCGGTGAAGACGTATTCTTTGACGTGGTCCGGCCAGGCCTGGACGGCTTCAATGGGTTGCTGAAGGAGGGGGCACCAGTCTTCCACGGTCATCGTGACATAGTCGACGGTGTTGAGGAGGTCGACCATGGCCTTGGTCGGAACATGGACCTTCTCGGCAATGACCTCGATGGGGATTGCTCCCAAAGAAACGTCGATGTCGATGTTGGCCGTCGCATTGACGCTGGCGGCTGCAGCCATGCTGGCGGCAGCAAGGAGGGATAGCTTGATGAATGAGGCAGTCATGTTGAGGTAGGTAGCTGATGAAGGCCGTGATGTAGGAAAGAGAAGTGAAGGATTTGAGATGAGGATGCAGGAAGGATAGTGAGGCACTGAGCTGATGCTGGAAGAGAGCATTGCGCCCGTTACTTATAACTTTGGCAGCTTCATCAACATACATCTCCTTAATACCTGAATACTGAGGCACTGCATCCGGCTTCGGATACGGATTCAACGACTGCTGGCTCTCCGCTCACATCCTCATCGACATCCGCTGTATTCGCACCATAGCAGAAAGTACCGCGACAGTGACAGACTACCAAGCATACGATTGTTACTGAGGCCGTATCCGAATCAGCCCTAAGGACTTGGACTGCTCGCGCTTTCGCTGACATCGGGTCTATTCGTTGACAGAAGCAGCATGCCCAGCACTAATAGGAAATTACCAGAAGTAAGGTCACTGCCAAATGCAGTAACTATATGGCTTCCAAGGACTTGGGTCGCTAGCTGAAAAGGGATCTCAGATGTCTTCACCGCTGAGTATCAGTCATCAGGATGGCCTCGCTATCCCCACTCGGTCCAAAGCAAGACACAAATCCAGACTTATGACCTGCATTAGGACCGTCTCGACCATGTCAGCCCTACGATTCAGGGTCGTTCAGGGTCTTCCGACTACCTGGATCGGTCCGTCTTTCTCGATCCACTCGACTGTTCAGACCGGCCCGAGCACGGTCTTGGTAGTCATCCGATGTATACTAATCCAACGGCTGCCAAGCATGTTACTTCGAACTTCACATCTCGCTTCCACCATGGTATGCCCAAGAAAAGTTTTGCTATGCTAGGCCTTCTCGACGTGATTACTTGTCGGTGAGGTGTAGGGCCTTTACAACACCATCTCAGCATACTTGGCTTCATTTGCTCGAATCAGTCACGGTCGTATTCAGGGCTCAGCGATGAGAGACCGCCAATACTTGCTCATGGCTATGCTTTTGGGGGTCAAAGACAGTGCCGTATGATGTGTTAGAGATGAAAGAGGGATGGGTTGAAGGCGTTGCGAGAGCTATAAGAACTGAAGCAATTCCGCGGAAGACAGATATCTCTCATCATCTACAACCATCACTTTCAATCAATCAATCATCACACTTCACCACTCCAAGTCTTCCATCGACTCATTCCAACTCAACAACATGTTCTCCAAGGCCATCATCATCGCTCTCTTCGCCTCCTCGGCCGCCTTCGCCGCCTCCATCCAGCAGAGGCAGCTCAACCCCAGTGTCCAGCTCTGCTCCAACAAGGACTTCAACGACTGCCTCAATGTGAACTTCCACTTTGGCATCTGCGGCAAGTCCTTCCCAACACCTCCAATTCCTACAACCTGGTAGCTAACATTCAGCAGAGGGTGCCGGAAGGCTGAACGACAAGGTCAGCTCGCTCAAGGCGAACGGCCATAACTGCATCTTCTACAAGTAAGTGGTCGCAGATTTTAGGTCTAAGATCGCATAAGCTGACTAGCTCATAGCGATACTGGTTGCCGAAATGGAAACGGCGAGATTGCTACCACGGGTGAGGTCGCCAACATTCGCTCCCACGGCTCGTTCTCTACTATGAACGACGATGTTTCGTCTTTCTTGTGCAGCATCTAGGAGTCGCATTCGGTTTACCCTTCCTGTCTTTCCGATGCTTAGCAATTGTTTGGTGGTTTTGGGCTGGTTCGAGATGAGCTTGGTGCGCGAACTCGGTACTTCACTGGAACACATCACCGGAACGTCAGGATGGGACAAGCTTTCGGCCTTCGTAGCCGAAGATGGGTGCAATTTTACTTTCGACCTCCGTCTCTGGAGAGGCTCTTTTGATAGGTTGGCGGTTTAGTTTGGTTTGGGGATAGATCGTGTAGTACGGAAGCCTTTTAGTTTCATAATAAAGCAGTTGCCTCCTGAACGCACCTGGATAGGCATTTCCTACTTGAACTGGATAAAGACGTTAACATGCAGGGATTCGGCAGTGACCACCTCATACAAGGAAGGAAAACCGAAATACATTGGGCTAGACCAAGCAAAGTATGGAACCTGACGTTAATATAGGCTCCCAGGTGTGTATTCCGGTAATGACTGTTATATTTTTTGATGGATAAGACTAACGCTGACAGTATCGATCACTAGGTGATGGCAGACGGACTAACCGAAACGTAACGATTGGGTGGGGGATGAGCAAAAGAAACACAGAAAATCCTCCACAAAAGCGATCCAATCAAAGGCTCAACCCTTACAAGTTTATCTTGTGACCCTGGCGAACATGATCGCGAAGTTTGTCCATGCGGTCAAACTTCATGTGGCAGCCTTCGACAACGCACCTGAGAGTAGGGGCTTGATGCTTCCGCGTGTGGCGGCGGCAATCACCAACACGGCGGTATGACTTGGTACAGCCATCAATGTTGCACTGGAAGCGTGGTTCGACAGTGCGGCGACGAGCGACTGCAGGCGCACACGGTGGCAAGTTGAGCGGTGCGACAATGTTGGGCTGAACATCAGCGGGAGCGGGAGCGGGAGCGATGGGTTGGAAGGCCTGACCAAATCCTGGCATGAAGTACGAACGTTCATTCAGGAAGTGACTGGATCGAGGGAGCACCCACGGAACGAAGGCATTATCAAGCGAAGGGACAGCCGGAACATCGTACATGGACAAGTCAAGATCAAACTCGAAGGCGCCAGAGTACTCAGCATGACCGGGGTGGATGCTAGTAGTACCGATCGTTGGGTCGTATACGTGCACGGACCCATCAGCATCGAGCGAATGAGGGGCGCCAGGTTTTTTTTTTATCACCATGTGGGTGTGCCTTTCACTGTCAGTTTAAAAAAAAACTTACTCTTGTATTGCCAAGACCTCGGGTAGCACTGCAGCCCCTTCAGTCCCGAATGCAGTTAGCGAAATGGGTCCTGCGGCATGGCAGGCAACTGGGGTGCCCAGATCGAGCAACTCCATCTCGCGGTCGAACAACTCCATTTGACCGTTGAAAACGTCCATTTCGAAGTCGAAGGTGGTTATATCTGCCGTCGTATTGGTTGCTGAGAACTGTGGGCTACCTGAGTAGTGGTGTTTGTTGTGAGAGTATCGACGCAAGAATGTGCAGGTAGTGGAATCTGTCCACAGATAGCGCGTTGGACGAGGTGGGATGAGTAAATCAACGGTGATATGGGAGAGCGGGAGTAAGGATGAGTGTCTGTCGGGGGACTGATCACATGAAGAGTGCTTGGTGATGTTGGTGACACCTCAGTGACCTCACCGTACGTACATGCATAAAGGGGCGACCAATCGGGTGTTCTATCGTCACAAAAGGGCTTCAGCTCACCGGACCTCGAGATGATTGGGTGATGTTTCCAAGCCTTCAACCTTAGCCCACACATCCTCGAAGGGCTATACAAGATAGCGTCGCCTTCTGGCTTGATAAACACATGCACGTCAAGCACGCACAAGTTTGATACTGGCACGATGTACTTCAGCGAGCGCTTCCGTTGCGATCAATGTCCTAGGGTTTTCGATACTCGGGGGCGATACAAGTAAGGCTGTGAGCCGATGTTCTTCCAGTGTTTACTAAGATGACATTAGCAAACACCTCAAGTCACATTCAAAGCCCTTCCAATGCTGTGAATGCGTGAGAAGATTCGCTCTACGTTCCGATCTCAACAGACATGTGCAGGCACGGCACCAACTTGGCGTAGCCCGACACCCATGTGTCGCCCCTGGCTGCTCCTATAGAGCTTCCCGCAAAGATAACCTGCGTCAGCATTTTCGGAACAGTCATTCTTGGAGAACAATTGGTTACCCTAGCGATCCCGAAGGATTGCGTAATCGAGGAGTTCAGCAGTCAACTTCACTCGGAGTGCAATCAGATGTTCAAATCGAGTTATCAAGTACTTGCACATTGATGCAGGCAGCATCGGCGGGTCAGATTGGCCTCATACAAGCTATTCTGCAGTCGGGCGAGGACATCTCCATGCAAGCTGATGACGGTTCAACAGCTTTACATTGCGCTGCTAAAGCTGATCAGATTGAAACGATCCGTTTTCTCATCGCGCAGGGTGCCAGGTCGAATGTTCTCAATGAAAACAGAAGGACGCCTTTACACGAGGCTATATCACACAGTCGTACATCCGCAGTCAGGGTTCTCATGGAGAGGAGGGAAGATATCACGGAACATGCATTGCGCGCATTGATTGAATCCGGGCAGAATAGACTTTTCGAGGAAGTCTGGTTACGTTGCGACAAACGCGTATTTGAAAAGATTGGTCCTGACCTTTTCAGTATCGCAGCTCGGTCCACCTCAACAGCAACTATGGCTGCATTGACATCGCTACTGGAGATAACACAGCAGTGGATCAGTGAGATCGGAAGGCCGATCATATCTCGGATCGTCGCCAAAGATCAGATAGGTATGCTAGAATGCCTGTTGGAATCTGGGAAGTTGGATCCAAACATGTATAGTAGCAACAGGAATGGGGGTCGTCTCATTCATCTGGCCGCTGCCAAAGGACGTGTTGAGATCGTAGGCCTTCTCCTCGAGTCTGAAACGATCGTCCCTAATCTCTTATATGGCAAGATGTCGCCATTGGGTATCGCCGCCGCCAGAGGGCACTTAAGAGTTGTAGAGAGACTTCTTGAGCACCCTGGCGTTATTGTAGGTGACGAGGATGGGAGGGGACAAGACATAAAGAGTCCTCTGCATCTCGCATGCCATGGACGACATGCACAGATCATAAGGCTAATGCTCAAAGCATATGACGACCGAAGCCTTGATGTGGATGGTCTCGACAAATTCCATCCTCGAATGAGCCCATTGCAAATCGCAGTGTTCAATGGAGATACCGATTTGGTAAAGCATTTACTGCTTCGACAGGACGTCAACGTGAACCGAGTATATCGACGCTCGGGGTTGAACATGCGACAGGTAGCGGTACAACGCAATGATGCCAAAACTTTGAGTGTCTTGTTGGAAGATAGTCGAATGGATCGAGAGGATGCAAGCAATAGTCGACAAGTGCTGGTACACGAAGCAATTTCGGGAGAGCACTGGTGGCTTGCGGAGGTCCTACTCAACCATGATAAAGTTTCTTTGAACATCATTCAAGAAAGCTTGGAAGTCCCAGCACAGCCGTCGAAAAGGCATGCTGATATTCTGGGAGAATATTTACTCGATGTAGCATCATGCCCACACAAGATGGGGAGTTTTTGGCACCGGGTCGCTCATGAGGGTAACCTCAGTCTGGCTATGCTTCTGCTCGAAGATCATCAGACGCGAGACGATCTTACTCATCCCGATGTGGATGTCAATCAGAAAGACAGCTCCGGTCAAACCCCGCTGCACGTGGCCGTCAAACGCGCGAACATCGGTATCGTTGATCTCCTCCTACACCATAACGATATCGACATCCATTCCCGTTTACAGAGAGGAAACGGTGAAATCGGTCAGTCTGCTATAGAGATGGCCGTACGCAATATGGAGAGATGGAGCAACCGGCAAAATCAAGAGCACTCTTATATCGTCGACCTGTTACAAGCTCACGGTGCTCGGGTCGTAGCGGGCGATCGAAAAGATGACGCGAATAATACGAGTCTTCCGCCTTTGCTTAGGAGTGTGGAGAGCGAAAATCACCACTCGGCTGAACACAGCGAGGACTTGAGAAGAAGAAGCCATCCGTCATGGGCTTCAGTCGTTGGCATTATGAGTGGTGGCGATGCTCCTAGAGAGACGAGGAGGGGAGTCGATGATACTATGGGCGACACCATTCCGATGGATGTGGACCATGGGATAGCAGAAGATCCGGACGCGATGTTCGAGGAACTGATGTGCTTTGACGATGAAGATATTTCCGATAACAACAGCATCGAGATGCTGGAGCGGGAGATGTTCGGCGAGTCGCCAGACAGGTTCACTGCCTTCTGGGAACAACAGGACACCTAGACCGTTATTCGTTTGACCCGGCGGGGGCTTTGCAGGGCCAGCAGGTGCTGAGGGTTTCGCAAGAATTAGCGGATGTTTCCTGTCGTCACCAAATGATTCCGGCTTTTGTATTTCGCCATGAAGCGCTGAATCGCAAAGCCCAATGAGCGTCGACCTAGAAAAAACTCAACACTCTGGAGCCTACATCAACGTTAAATCACCTACTTCGCATATTATTACATTGTTGTAGTCTGCAGACTTGTTTAGATGTTTCCTTGTACGAAGTGCATTCAGGTAAGTATTTTCGTTTCTTGATAAGAAGAAGGAGAGAAGTGACTTCTGCCAAACGCCCAACGCGCCATTGTGATCCATGGATTGTGGCGGGGACCTTGACGCGTCGTCGGCGCTAGCGCCAAAACCGCGAGCATCAGCCCGCGTGCCCGTCTCTCTGCATCTGTCATTGATGGTTGATCATTGATTTCACCGACTCCCGAACCGCCTCAACGATGCAGCCGCATGAACACTGCAGATGCCGATGGTAACCCCTTCTGACGCGTAGCTGCGTCTTCTAGCGAGCACCACAATGTCAGCTCCGCGTGCGCAGCTTCCCACTCCAGCAGCGATCGCGCTGGACTTCGAGAATACATTCTCGCCTCTCAGATCAGATCATCACAGCAGTTGTCACTCGAGAGACTGATTTCGCCTCGCTCTGTCCAGTCACGGCGCATGAGATACGACCATCGATATTGCAGCCACCTATCGCGACGCCCTCTTCACCGTATTGGACAACGCCATCCTGCTCATCCTCGTCCCATATCAGTACCTCCAATACACCGTAATTTCGAGGTTGCTCAAGCGTATCGGCAGGAATAGAGCAGTGCACGGACGAGATATGGAGATGGATGTCAAGATAATTGTAGACGGCCATGAGTTGAACTATGTTAACATGTCTCCGTGTCTCATCCGTTGTCGCACTGCTCTGGTACGCATCTGCATACAGATCGTAGTCTTCTATCGCTAATGTTCATCAGGTCTAGACCCTTCGCCTGTGCTCTCGCATCGTGATCCTCCGACCATGACTACGCCGAGTCCCAACGTCTCGAAAGCGGCAATCGCGCCGTCCCTATCCTGGCGAATACCTACATAAGTCCAACTTATACATGTGCATTCCAAGTACTGAGCAGAACCGGTGGTATGGAAGCCATGGTTCTTCATAGACTCCAATACTGGCAGCGGAGCCTGGGATGAACAGTTCGTCGTGGCTGCAAAATCAGCTTTTCAATCTAGGTCTGGTGGGCTACAGAACTGCCCTGTCGGGGATTTCTCGCATGTAGCGTGCGTCAACGTGCTGTCGTTATGGATGCACACCCACCCATGCGACCGAAGACACTGCGAAGAGGAAGAGTTGAAGATGTCTGAAACAACTGAGGCATGGAGATTTTGTCACGCGCGAAGGTGACTGGAAAGCGAGGCTGGGATGCCTTGCGAGGGCTTCCGGGTAACTTCGCAGAAAGAGTTGAAATCATGCCGCAAGGCTGAAACCAGCCACAAAATGCCCTTTTCTAGTTTCTCGTACCAGATAAGCAACACGACCCAACCAAAATCAAGATCTTGTTTGTATGAGATTGGCTATCGCTCATTTCCAATGGCCACTGTATTGAGCCGTGCGCGATACTAATTCGAGCCAGCAGGAAGAACGTCTAGGAGTACCACCACAGCCACTGCGCCTTTGCACTACACAACCCTAATGCGTATTGGTCCAATCTAGCAAATCTAATACCACCCCCACAGACGATCCTCAGCCGCACCAACTCTGGCTTGCCCGTTGCAGCAATGCTGCTTCTTTAGGGGTAGGTACACATACCGGTGCGTGGCGCGCGACGCGCATACCAAACTTTTTCCCCCCCCAGCAATACATCACTCAGTCACTCATGATGCTCTTTAAATATCTTTTCGCTGTTTCGCTCGTTCTTTGCGATGCTTATGGCGATGGAAACAACCCCATGAGCAGCCCAGCAGCGGGCGAAGTCATCGAAGCTGAGGAAACGTACCTGATTTCATGGTCCAATGGCACACCAGGTCCAGTGTCAATTGATCTTCGTTTTGCTGATACAACCGCGGTGTTGATAACAAGTAAGACTCTTCTAACCTCCAGGCTTCAGTGGCGCAAGAAGTATTGGAATGAAAGCTGATAGCTCTAGATGAGACGCCTAACAACGGCAGTTATACATGGATACCATCTGGTATGCTTGCAGGGAAAGACAACTACTTCATGGCGATTTGTGATGCAGGCGTGAACGACTGCACCTACACCTTCAACGGACGATTTGCGATCGAAGATGCGGGAGCCTTATCGTCTTCATCGAGTTCGACGATCAGCAGGTCAGTTACATCCTTTCCCGTTACCCCTACAGTTCTTCCATGGAACATCTTCGCTGACAGTCTGGTCGCAATACAGTACCACCCTCCTTACTTCCTCGTCAACCTCTAGCGCTGGTACCAGCTCAACTTCAGCTCTCACTAGCAGCGAAACGAGCCCAAGCGCAACAGCCTCCCCCTCGCCACCCCAGAGCACGAATCCTGGTCTGCCCATAGGCGCGAAGTAGCGATAGGATCTGTATGTGGTGTCGTTGGCATAACTCTCATCCTGCTTGGAACGTGTTGCATACTGCGCAAGCGCAAGCGGAGCAAAGCCGCGTCGGAACCGCAATTTGTACACGCAGAAGCAGAAAAGGTTCCTGCCCTGAAGACTGATGGCGGTGCATCTGGAGGACATATGGCGCAGATGAGCGAGTTGCATGATGTGCCAGTGAAGAGGCCGAGGGCAGAGCTGTCTTGACCGTGCCACCTCATACAAGAAAAAAACTGAACAGGTCTGCATGCTACATTAAGCCAAAACCTTGCAAAGGCGGTAACCTAGCGCCAATGTAGGCTCCAGGCTGTTCAGTTTTTTCCTAGGTTGGCGTGGTGCGCAGACAGTAGATAATAATGCGTGGAAGTAAGGCCCAGTGTAATAAGTTGAGAGACTGGTGTGTCTCTTTGTATGCACATTTTGCTTCAAATATCTACAGCGAAAGTAATCAAGGAATGTCCATCTAATGTCCTATCCCATGCGGTCATCCCAGACGCACTCAACATCACTCGCCTCATCGCCTCGCCAAACGTTCCCAGGCACGTTCTTCGCCGCAACAGCAGCCCGAAGCTGAGTTCCTAGCTCAGGTGGACCAGAACCGATGACTTGTGTTCTACCCTTCTCGACCGTCTCGGTCATGTACGTGTCGACCAAGGAGGGGATATCCGGTCGTGTGTTGTTAAGCCATGTAATAGTGAAGTTAGGGCATTGGCGGCTAAGCTCCTCAACTTTGCGGTCTAGAGACATGGAATTAATTGAAGAAGTTTGCGACAATGAGCCGCCATCTCCGAAGTCTTTGTCTTTGTCATCGTGGAGCTGATGAGATGGTTTTTGGTACTTCGTCGTATCAGGTCGAGTCACAAAGATGCGAATCCTGAGGCGCTTCTTCGCCTCCACCGATACTATTGGTGCCTTCTCTAGCTTGTCCTCGGTGTAGTGTCGACCAGCACCAGCACCATCAAGTTGTGACTTCAGATAAGCGAGTTCAGGTGCGATCCAGGCAAGGTTCTCGAGGTGCCTTACTGTCCAGACAAGTTCGATGTTGCGCGCAGGGGAGGCGTCGCTTAATGCGTGCATGATGACGGGAAGGGTATAGGTAATTCCAGTACCGCCAGAGACAGCGAGAACGTTGGAGACCTCGTCGTTCGTGATGGCGCTGCCGTATGGTCCCATCATTATGACTGGCGTGGAGGCATCGCGACGCGGGTAGCAAATGGCGGCTTGTTCAGCGAGAGCAGCGAGCTTGGCGGTCTCGCCTTTGCAGGCGCGGATGATGTATGTGTGACTCTGCACCGGAGATGAGCTTGTAGGATTGGATCCCGGGGTGAAAGGATGCGATTGCCAGATGTTGAGCGCGGGGAAGGTCAGATAGTAGTGCTGGCCGATCTCCCAGGCTTTATGGCTGTGAGCGAATGTCATGCGCACAATGGTACCCGTTGGGTCTTTGAACGTTTCCATGGTTGTTGGAATGGAGCGGAAACCGAGACCGAGACTTCCGTCCTTGTATCCGGTGTGAATGAGCCAAGTGCGGACGCTGCGGGCGACCAAGTCGAAGCCCATGATGGCTAGTGATGCAATCATCCAGCACGAAAGTTTCTCCCAGTGGCCCCAGCAGGCTCCCAGATAGAGGCCAGCGACAATGAGATGCGATTTGCGGAAGAACTCATAACCCGTCCAGCGGATTACCGGCCTGAGACTGAAGACGAACAAGAAGGTGATGAAGCCTTGTGCGATACAACCCCAGATCATGTACTTCTGACTGATGAATTCTCTGTACGTTGTTGGTTGGGGTTGGTAAAGCTTTGCTTCAACGATCGTCCACATGATCGCGTGTACGAAAGATTGGACAAGGATGATGCGGCCCGTCCAGCGGTGCAAGAAGTTGAAACTTTGATAAGGGATACCTGTGACCATGCTGAGCATAGAATCGCGGCTACACAGAGCGATGGTCAGGGGAGTCAAAGCAAAGGCGAAAGCACCAACGCGATCGGCAAAGCCACCAATACCGCTGCGGGTGTTGTGCAGGTTGGTGCCTTTGATGGGTGTAATCCACGTCTTGTAGGTGATCCCGGTGAACCTTTGAACGTCAGCTATGTTATGCCGTAAGGGCATCCTGACTCACGAAAAGACTGTCAGATAGACGCAGAGCAGCGCCAGGATCAGGACTTGCAACCTCGTAGTATATCTGAATACCTTGGAGCATTCAGGCATGAGATGTCGTCGTACAGTTGAAGATGTCAGCCTGACGAGGCGATACAACAGGCTCTGTCTGGCACCATCTTTTCTTCGTGGTCGAACAAGTCGAGATACGAGAATCGCAAGTAGGATCGCACCAAGGACAGCCCAGAAAATGAAGGTAAAGATCATCGATGTTTGGTGATTGCCGTAA